ATTGAAATGAGACACTGCATCTACTTGCCTTACTGTCATTCTGTTTTTATAAAAAAAGATGAGGGATTCTTGGAAAATAATCTCGGGAATGGTTGAATATGTATGTGTATGAGCTAAGAAACTTTCCAAAATTCGTTGTACTTTATCTTAACATCAGCAATGGGTGGACATCTGCATCTCAGACAGCTTTCTTTTCTAGGGAGATTTTTGTGGTAAGTTAACCTATTTATATAAATTTAATGTTTTAATTAGGAAACTATAAACATCGGTGGGTGTCTTTCAATCAAAATTTGTTTCTTGCTCTCTATGTCACTTTTTCTTTTTCTTAATGAAACTTTGTACCCAATATTCCTTCCCTCTTTACTTTATTTTTTTTTCTGTGTTAGGATTACTAAAGTACTAAGCCTACCAAGGTTTGGATTACTGAGATTGCACTGTATATAGAAATAGAAAATCTTCTTATTTTATTAGGAAGCCTACGTTTATAATTTTTTTCATATTTAAGACAATAATACTTCCAATTTTCTTCAAATTTTTTAAATTACATTTGTTGTCTCTTACATTTCGGGAAAATTTTCCCATCATCAGTGCAATCTTTATCTTCACTTTCTTTTTTTGATGTGGCACCATTTGTCGAAAATCAAATATTTGTCACATTTTTTAAAACTATTTTTTGGTGTTACACATTCATTGATACACTAATCAACATCTGGCTATATTTTTCTTCTTTTTTAGAAAAAGATAGCCAGATGTTGATTAGTCTACCAATGAATGTGTAAAGATGTGTAACACCAAAAAATAGTTTTAAAAAATGTGACAAATATTTGATTTTTGACAATTGGTGCCACATCAAAAAAAGAAAGTGATGATGGGAAAATTGTCCCGAAACGTAAGAGACAACAAATGTATTTTAAAAAAATTGAAGAAAATTGGAAGTATTATTGTATAAATATGAAAGAAAATCATCTTTATTCTGGGACTATGTCCCTTAAGAATAATAATATTGTTCATATAAATTAACAGTAAATCTGGCCATAAGACCAATTACAATGAAGAGTAATTAAAATACAAGTGATAAAATAAGTATATCCATAGCTCTTACGATATATTAATGAAAACAGATGGGTAATAGGGTTACAATACTACAATATTGGAGCTAAAACAGTAACATAATAATCACTAAATGAAATTAGAAAGGAAGGCTAAATAAATTTTATAGGCAAAGCATTGTAGTGATGGAATATGAAAAAAAAAAATTACTGTAAATAAATGATTTACGTTTGTTCCTTAAGAAGTTGTAGTGAATACATTTAAAGATTAGAAGAAGAAAAAATAAAATAATATATATATATACACACATAGCGAGTAGTGTGTCGAAGATAAGTGAAAAATAAAATACATTTCAAAGAAATACAATCTTATGAATAGGAAAAGGAGAAGTTAAGAGAAACAAATTATACCTACTCTCAATGCTTTGTAAGTGGTGATGGAAATTCACGTTCAACACAGAAGAAAAGTTATATATAATAAGATTTTTGAAGACATTTTTGGGTGTGATGGAGACAAAATTCAGAGAGAAATATTCAATTACAGAAATGGAGTAATTCAATCATATATAATTTTGTATACAGGATAATTCAGTCCTTAATGGCTACACTCTAGGAGGTGATTCCAGACAGAATTTCCAACAAAAAGTTCATTTGATGCATGATCTAATCCCGAACGGAAAAGGAGTTAGGTCCATTTTGTGTTTTCTTTAGGGTGTCACGTTTTCTCCATTATTGGAAGTGATAACACAAAAATTATTTTTTTTTTTATTTATTATTATTATTATTTAAATATTATTAATATATTATTTTGTTATTTATTATTTAAATTATTATTTAATTTAGGTAATCAACAATTGCTTCATAGTAAACTAGACAAACTTTTCTTAAAATATAAGTTTTTTCTTAAATTTTCTTTAAAAACCATTTGAAGGTTACTTTTGAATGGATAAATTATACTAAATGTTTTTTTCATTAAATGATGGATTATTCACAATTTTTTTTGTGGCAGTTGTTAGTTACCTAATTTAAATAATTTTTGTGTTATCACTTCCTATGAAAGAAAAAACTTGACCACCTTAATAAAACATAAAATTGGACTTGATTCTTTTTCTGATTAGAAACAGACCATGCATCAAATGAACTTTTTTGTTGGAAATTTTGTCTAGAATCACCTCCCAGGAGTTTGGACCATTAACAACTGAATCACTCTGTATAATACATTCAAACTGCTTCATTATACAAGGTGTCTCAGTTATTAATGACCAAACTCTGGGAGGTAATTCCAGACAGAATTTTCAACAAAAAAGTTCATTTGATGCATGGTCCCATTCTGAACAGAAAATGAGTTAGGACCAGTTTTGTGTTTTTCATAAAGTGGTCACGTTTTTATTAAATAAAAAGAATTTCTCAAAAACTGTTCTAGATAATTAAATTCTTGGTACACCATCGTTAAGTTGACAATTTTTTTTTGAGAAAGCAGTGATTAAATTTTCTATGGTCAATGATAAAAGGAACTTTCAGGAGGTCTAATACGATCACTGTACTGCTGCAGTTACGGTACCCTTACACGAGCAGCATATTTCTATATTCCCAATTCGTACGCAGCAGTACAGAAGTTGTATTAGACTTCCTGAAAGTTCCTTTTATCATTGGCTGTAGTCAATTTAATCACTGTTTTTTCAAAGAAAATATTGTCTACTTTACGATGGTATACTTAGAATTCAATTATTTTGAACAGTTTTTTTAGCAATTCCTTCTTATTCAATTTATTCAATATCTTATTTTCCTTCTTATTTCAAAGGTAACCACTTTGTAATGATAACCACCTTAAGGAAGTCACAAACTTGGTCTTAACTCCTTTTCCGTTCTGAATCAGTACATGAAACTTTTTTGTAGGAAATTTTGTATAGAACAAACCCCCAGAGTTTGGCCATTAAAAAATTGAGACACCCTGTATATCGATTTTATTTAATATTGTTCTATATTTTTTCTCTTCTTTTTAACAAAACTTTCAAAATTATTAATTCTGATAGTTTTCTTTTATTGTTCCACAATATCATCTTTATGATTTTTGGGAATTGGCTGGGCATTTGATTATCCAATATTTGTGTGTGGATATACTGTGAAGAGTTCTTGCTAATAAAATATTGGTGAGGAACACCCCAGAAATTCTTGAGTGTCAAAGTAGCTAAATGACTTTCAAATGGAGAGACACTAGAGAGGTACCCTTGACATTTCATGCACGATTCATACTTAAGTGGACAGACAACTTAATAAGCCAAATAAGAACTTGTAAAAATGATTAATTAAAATCATATTTTATTCAATATGAATATATGATTGGTAGGAACAAGTACTGTGTATAATTAGAAAAAAGAAGAAACTATTATGCACCTATATTCGATTTATTTTATTTTTAACATTACTATGTATAATTAGAAAAAAGAAGAAACTATTATGCACCTATATTCGATTTATTTTATTTTTAACATTTAAATAAATGAGGGATAGAAGAACAAAACTACCCAACTCCCTTTTAAGTTTTGTCTTTGTTTTAATTAACAAAACAATTTTTCTTAAAAACAGTTTAATAACATGTTATTTAAATGTTTTTACATAATGATAATTATAATTAGTACCATAACTGTTGATTTAAAAAAAAAAAAATGGATTCAGCAGGCTTTGGAATTCCAAACCTCAAATATTGTTTTGATATTATTTTAGTTTTCTTTTATGTATGATGTGCTCAAATATGGTAGCATTATATTTAGATTTTTTTAATTTGGTTGCTTTTGCTATTGAAGACTTTTTTATTTATTTTTTTTTTTTTACGATTTATTTAGTTTATATGAATTATATTTAATTTTCTGATTAAATTAAGGTTATTATCATAAGTGTTTTTATTTATTAATATTAGTATTATTATTTTAGATTTTATCTTTTTTTATTAATTACATAGGGTGAGAACTACTATCACTAGATATCTAAAAATCTTGGTAATTCCACTGACAGGTTCCATTATGTAATATGCATAGCGTAATACATTAAGTTAACTCCACAGGTATATTGTTTTTAAAATTAGACAAGTTAATCAAAAGGAAAACGTTTCTTATGATTTTCATTATAACTAGGCAAGTTTGTATTACTAGATTTCCCGAAATAGTAGAATTTTAGATACCCAGTTGAACTTCTCACCTTACAAATTTTTATTTCAATAACAGTTTTAGTAAATTAGGCTAATTGAATCTATAGGCTTGGCAACTCAGTAATTGTGGATTTTTGGAAAAATAAAAATACCCAAGTTGTTTGAAAAACTTTTTGATGCATGTGTGTGATATACCAAACTTCTCTGCCATCTCAAGAGTAGAGCTATGATGATTTTCTTTGATAACCTCTTTGATTTGGTTGTCTTCAACTTGATTTGTTCAGCCAGATCATTGTTCATCTTTCAGTGAAAAATCTCCATCACAAAATTTTGTGAACCAGGTTTGACACTGCCTTTCTTTTAAAGCTTCAGTACCTTACATAGCACATAATGTTTTGTGTGTTAGTGAAGAATTTTTTGCTTTAGCAGAATAAATAGGAGAATATGTGTACTTGAAGCTTCCGTTTCAAACAGAATTTGAATACTAAACTAAATATTTGATCATCAAAATATTTCTATGGAATTATGAAGGAGCTATCAAAGATCAAACAACAATATGAAGATCTAAGTTTCTTTAAGTATACAAAGAGAACATTGTTATTAAAGCCACCTACTCATAAAATCTACAATTATTTGGTTGACAACCTTATAGAAAGAAAATTGTCATGAAAACAGGTAATAAATTAATAAAAATAAAATAATTATAAAAGAAACTCACCCTCATTCCTTGATTAATCAGGACTGACTACAATATAATTATGAAATTTGGACTATAATTTACTGTATTATGTTTTTATTGATTTCAGTTCGTGCCACATTAGGATGTTGTGTTCTATTGTGTTTCAAGCTACTACAGAAGTCAGTGAAAGATATTTTTGGAGAAGGTGTTGCATTGTGGTTTCTTGTACTCACAGCATCCCAGTATCATTTCATGTTTTACTTAAGTCGTCCTCTTCCAAATATAATGGCTTTACCACTAGGTATATTGTTGGTTTGAGATAATCATGCATTTTTTTTCCTAATATCTTATATCAACTTAGAGGTGATAGATAATGATCTGTATGATGTATATCATAGACATTAGTCAGGAAATCAGCCAGTTTTTTACTTTCTCTTACCTATTTATGAAATATATAGCAAAGGAAAGTATTTCAATTGTGAAAATTTTCGAATTTCAGTTTTCAACGGAAATACACGTTTTGAGGTCCCCTGAGTCCAAATAACCAAGTCCCGCAAAATGGTCTGTGTGTGTGTGTGTGTGTGTGTGTGTGTGTGTGTGTGTGTGTGTGTTTGTGTATGTGTGTTTGTGGATGTTAACAGTCTAGCTCAAAAACGAAAAGTCCTAAGAAAGTGAAATTGCATATTTAAGGTTTTTATATGCCTGAGAGGGGCAGTAGGCTTAATGATCAAAAAAGCTTAATAACGATATGTTGGACTTATTGGAAAATGACACAGCAACCGTCTAATAGACTATAATTTAGCTACTTGGAAAATTTTAATGTTATATAGACCCAGAGCATTTCAACCCCCCCCCCCTGGACACCCTAAACGATTACTAAATAGACATTACTGCCATCCAGGAAATCAGATGAACCGGAAATGGAAGCCTCAAGAAGGGACAACACACGATCTACTACAGCTGTAATGATCGCCTCCACACTTTTGACCATTGCATGGTTGTGTCAATGATCAGAGCCAAAATATCGATCACCAGAATTAGGCATATAATTATGGCTAAATGATTCAACACCTCCAAGCTTAAGGATGCTGAACATTATGCAGAGTTTTCCTCACAACTTAGGCAGAAATTAGAAGGAATTAATCCTGAAGAAGATGTCGATAAAAAGTGGAATCATTGCCATAAAGCTCTCACAATAACCGCATTGGAAGTGCTGTGCATGGAAGCAAATTTGAGGGGCTCGCCACTAGTGGTTTGATGAGGAGTGTAAAGTCTAGAACAGCAGGAATAATGAAGCCTACAAAAGAATGATACAGGGCCGACGAAAAAGATGATCTACGGAGGAGTACCGTGCTCTGCGATGTCAGGAGGTCCACCTTTGAAGGAGAAAGAAAAGGCAATGGGAGAATGAATTGCTGGAAGACGTAGAAAAATCCTATCAAGAAAAGAGCTGCCGAAATTTCTTCCAACAAGTCAATGAAGGACGAAGACTGTTCAAGCCCAGAGCTATTGCCGGCAAAAAGGAGGACGGATCCCTGATCGCTGTAAGGCAAGGGATATTGGATAGGTGGGCAGATCACTTTGAAGGTTTGCTCAATTGAGGTAATGCTGAAGAGAGCTTCCTCTGCTTCCATGGATGAAGCACAGGAAGCAGTTCACATAAAACATAAAACAAAGTATATGTACACAAACCCTCCACCGATGAACGTTGAGAACGATATCCAAGTTGATGGGTAGAGTGTGGAGAGAGTTGAGGAATTCACGTACCTAGGGTCCCTGGTCAACCAACAAAATGATATTGGAGCAGAAGTCGAGAATCGGATTATGGTAGCTAATTGCTGTTATTTTGCTCTGCAAAAGCATATGAGTGATGGTCTCCTCTCCAAATCCTCGAAAGTCAGGCTGTACAAGATTCTCATCTCAGTTCTCACATATGTTTCAGAAAACTGGACCCTTAACCAAGCACACAAATTCTCTCTTCTGAGATTCAAAGGAAGAGTCCTGAGGAGGATATACAGTCCAGTTATAGTTAATGGAGTCTGGAGACACCATTCCAACAATGAACTGAGCCTGCTTTATAAGGAGTTGGATGTGGTACAGTTTATAAAGCTAGCGACTTTACGTTGGCTGGACATGTAATTAGGATGGAGCAAGATGAAATCCCAGCCGAAGGCCACGACTTCGGTGGTAGGATTGCGTAACTTTAGACGCCTAAACCATATTGGATATCCGCAGTTGGAGGGCAGTAGCACTTGACTAACCAAGGAAGTGGCACTTTATATCATTGATGTAACACATTTTTATGATTTTCTCGAAAATGGCTTTAACGATTTCGATTAAATTTATGATCACAGTGTAAAATGATGCAGTTTTTAATATAATGTAGATTTTATTTTCATTGATGTTCTCCAACCGAGCTTAAATGGCTAATTTTTAATATTAGCTTCCCCCTTATTAGATTATATATGAGGAACATTATATATAATTTTTTTTTATTTGAAATAATTTTCTATTTCACATTGATCTCTGTAATAAAAGATAGTTAAATATAAAGAAAGAATTTGATGATTAACTAAAGGAGAAATAACAGATCGTAAGGGAGAATAGTTGTAATAGAGGAACCAACGGAATACGAGCGTGCACGAGCTCTCCCGAAAGATTACAACAGTCTTCCATACGTAACATGAGCATAATATAATACGGATTCCGACAATATTATGTACATATACATATGCGGTTTTCATAAATGTTATCGTTGGTATTATTCAATATTTAATTGTATAGGTATTATTTAATATTTAATTGTATAGATTATAGAGATATATAGCATTTCCAAGTCAATTTCAACCTTTTCCAAGTGAAATTCAACCTTTTCCAAATCAAATTAAACCTTTTCCAATTCAAATTCAACCGTTTCCATTTCAAATTTGATTTTTTTTTTAAATAAGGACCATCCTCCTCCCCCTCCTCTACTATATGAAGGTCTGTTATTATGCTCCCATAACTAGAGTTGTTCAAAATACCATCGATTTTATGTTACACTTACGGATATTGATTTATTGTACCTATTCGGATTTATTAGGGTCTAGTATTATGCTGTCGTGTGCCTAGATTTTAAAAATGATCTCCATTTTAAGATTACGCAACTTCGTTTCGACTTATTTAAGCTTTTCGGATTTATTAGATATAAGGGCGTATTCTTATGTTTCGGGAGCCGTAGATTTTAAAAATGACCTCCATTTTAAGATTATGCCACTGCATTTCAACTTATTTAATTTTTCTGGATGTATTCGATATAAGAGTATATTCTTATGTTTCCGGAGCCGTAGATAGATGTTGAAAATGACTCCATTTTAAGATTATGCCACTGCGTTTCGACTTATTTAAGTTTTTCGGATTTATTAGATATAAGGGTGTATTCTTATGTTTCGGGAGCCGTAGATTTTGAAAATGATCTCCATTTTAAGATTACGCCACTGCGTTTCGACTTATTTAATTTTTCTGGATGTATTCGATATAAGAGTATATTCTTATGTTTCCGGAGCCGTAGATTTTGAAAATGACCTCCATTTAAAAGATTATATATGAGGACAGAGAAATACAGGAAGAAACCGGTAGATTAGGGATGGAAACTACTTGGAAACGTTTAGATAGGAACCAAGAGATGGAACTGTTGGAGAAGGATGATGATTTTAGTTTTGAAAAGAGGATGGAATGGTGGATGGAGTCAAAAGCTTTGGAGAAGTCAAGGAGGACAAGGACAGTTGATTTTTTTTTCTGTCAATAGCTGTCTGGACCAATGTAGTGTAACATTCTTGAGATAAATAAATAAATTTTTACTAAAAACAATTAAAAAATATTTCATTTTTGAAAAGTATACCAGTAGGGCTATTAATCTTGGCAACTGCAAAAATTTGAAATTAACATAAAACAGTAAAAATAAAGCAATATACTGTGTGTGTGTGTGTGTGTGTGCGTGTGCGCATGCTTGCGTGCGTGTGTATCAGGGGTTTTTAAAAAAATAATCTCATTCTACTCTCCTTGGACACGAATCTATCAAAAATATTGAAATAATCTTTAATATTTTTTTTTTAGTGTTATTGGCAGTTACTTATTGGTTGAAACAGGATCATGTTTATTTAATATCCTATTCTGCAGTTGCAGTTATTATTTTCCGTTTTGAGTTGGCTATTTTTCTTGGAATAATCATTCTGTCGGAAATCATTTATGGCCACATTAGTTTTATGAGGTATACAATATTTATATGTTGAGAGTTAATATTTGTATTCGCTAAATTGCTAATGCTGTGTATTGAGTAAATGAATTTAAAGTTAATGGGTAATACCCATAACGTGTGACATATTTTTTTTTTTTTTTTAATCTATTTTTCTTATACTTCCTCCTATATATTTGGTATCATCATAATGATTGTAATCATAATCTTAGGTAATCATAAAAATATGAACTTTGTACTGGTCTGAATTTCTTCAGATTTGTATGATATTAATTATTTATTTATTATGGTAATGGTTTCATTTTTCATAATGATTTGTAGTTGACTAGGAAACCATCATTGTTGTTTTGTTTTTTTCAGTCTTTTAAATTTTATATGAAAGCTGTCGTTTTGTATTCTAATTGACAATAAAATTGTACCACTTTGAAGATACCAAAGAGCATATGATAAACTGATTTCATATTTTTTATGATGGTTTTATTTTTTAAAGATTATTTAAATTTCAAAGTGTGGAAATACTTAACTGTGCTGTAGTATATTATATTAGTAGTTTTGTGAACATTAGACCTCGTGAAAAAAAATTTATAAAATCTATACTTTTGCAGCGTTTAAAGATGTAGCCGAAACTTCTTTATAAAAAAAATACATGAAAAAAAGTTTTTTCAACATAAGGCATGGTATTAATTTAGTGTTAAGGAGACATCAAACTTGGATAGATAAAGGTATTGGAGAGAGATAAGTACTATAAAACTGTACTGCTGATCAACTATGTCGAGTTGCTAAATGATTTAGCATGCTGATAATATTTAATAAGAAAGAACAAAAAGGATGAAGTTTTGCATCCAAGGTACCGAATAAAACCCATTGCATGAACAAGTGACTGGCAAAAAATTATAACCTATACCGTTAGTCAAGCTGCTATAGATGCTTTAAATAGTCACTATACTTATTCATGGGTTGTCAAAGACTGCAATATTTTACGTAAGTGGAATCGCTCCTCGACTTCCGGACCAAAGTCCGCAAACCGAAAATTCTCTCTAACCAAATTCCTCCCTATATTTCTCCTGTAGATATGGAATGCATTTTTTATAGGTTTCCTCTTTTTCTTTTTATATTTTGAGATCTTGATCCTAATCATTAGTTTTAAATCTAATTGTAGGATCAACTATCAGATCCTCTTTTCCTTTCAAAATAAAGGCTAAGATATCTACGAACCTCGCTGAGCCTTGGTATCAAGGCAATATGCTTCAAGGATATATATAATAAGCATCTATAATTTTTTCATCTCTAGGAATTCGGCAATTCGATGCTTGATGTTGAATAGTGCCAGAGAAAGTGGTCCATCCTGTGGTACTCATCTAAATATAATAGAACAAATAAATAAAACATTAATTGGCCCTGCTTTTGTTGATCCCGCTATTGACTCTATCAATGTTGGTACATAGTAGGCTTTCTATCACCCTTCTTAATTTTGGATGATACACCCTTGGCTTCCAAGGACCTTAAGATATGACCACGACCAATGTTTTCAAATGACTCTGTTGGGATAATAATCTTTATGTTACAATTATAATATGCTATGAAATCAGCCGCTTATGATCCTATCCCTTTCTTTAATGGGACTCCTCATAACTTACTTTAATTCATTACTGACTGTAGGCAAGTTTTCAATATTGAATTCGTTCAATTCAATGAAGAAATATTACTTAGTAAAACATTAGCTAAACTAAGTGACAAAGCAGACTGACTACATCTGAATTTAGTCACATAGAAGAATTATTAAATTATTTAGATAAAACATTCAGAGATAGTCATTATACTTCCGTCATAGTATAGATTAAATCCGTATATTAATCATATTCAAACATAGGATCAAAAATAGTCCTGATAGAGAGATTGTAGTCAATGTATTCAATTAACAACAAACCAAGGAAGAGACCAATCCGTTGTGTTGATGTTATTTTCAGGGGCTGAGTATTGCTACCTCATTGTTTAAATTTCACTACTTTGTTATCCATTTCAGTCTTTATTCTTTATTGTTTACATCTAGAGTCTTTGTAAAAACTGTAGGAAGCTGAATGTATCTGTAAAAATTGTTCTAATACTGGCATTTTCCGCCTTTTTCCAGAAATTTAATTTAACACTCTATTTTTCATAATTTCTTTTTTGTTTTCTATTTAATGTTACTTTTCTCTAAGAAAATGACAAAATTTCATATTTTTGATGGACATAAAATTATTATTTTGCATCAACAAGAACTTTCAATTAGGGGGAAAAAAAGAAGTTGAAGGTTCTATTTTTGGAATTCAGTATGCTATAAATTTTTTTTTATGTAAACAAGCAAAATGAAGACTTGAAATGTTCAGGCAGATATAAAATACATAATCCTGCTGATGAACAACAATTAAAATTATATGTTCTGGTACAACTGCTACACACCTAGCAGAGAACTGGCTCAGAAAATAGCCAATGCTACTAGGACTCAAGGAAACTCCTATCATTAGGTCTTAAAGGTTATGTTCTCAGAAGAAAACTATTTCTTTGGTCTCTTAACCAGCGAGGGCGACTCAAGTTTGCCAAATAACATGAAAATTGGATGGAAGAAGAATGGAACAAATTTTTAAAGAGACATGAGCCGAAATTTGAAATGTTTGGTTCCGGAATGGGGCAGTATATTAGGTAAGATCTGGAGTGGAATTTTCGAAAGAATATTTGCAACCAACAGTAAAACACAGAGGTGCCTTAATGGTTTGGGGGTGTGGTTCTTGATCTGGAATTGGTAACTTCTTGTGAGCAGATGAAAAACTGGATGCAAAACAGTACCACAGCATTTTTACTAACTATCTGAGATTAAGTTGATTGGACAGAACTTCATTTTTTTTTTTGTTAGATAACGATAAAAAATGTGGGTATTTTTTAAATAAAAGTAATATTAAAAAAGAATTAAAAACAGAATGCTAAATTAAATTAAAAAAAAAAAAAAGCGGAGAATTCCTATATTAGAACAATTTTTACAGATACTTTCAGCTTTTTAGAATTGATTCAAAATGAAAATCATCTTTTATTTGATGACTTAATAAGTTCTGGGAACATAAGATTCCCAGTAGAACATGATTACATCTGACATAATGACCACAAAAAGAAACGTAACAAATACAACAAACACCATAAATGTTTTAATAATTGGCAGTGTTCCGAAAATTCGTATAATCCAAATAATTACCAAGAACACAACTACAATATCAACATCAACAAAATTATCAACACGAACCAAATTATAACAATCATAAGAATCATGATAATAACCAATTTTATAATAATCAATGGCCACGAAGAGAACAACATCGCTATTTTAATGACTCAGGACAGAACCAACATCAAAATCATAGTAATAATAGAAAAGATACCAATACTGTATCAATGAGAATGGTTAGTGTATTTGGCGACAGACTAAGACAGCCCATGTTAAGTATAGAACAAGAAGACCCAAGAGATAATGAAATAAAAGAATTAAGACAGAAACTTGAAAAATTAAATCAAAAGGATTACAAAATTTAATTCTGATTTAAACATTTTGTAAACCAGACAGACAAATGAAATTTAAAATCAACTTCGAAACTGATACAATAAAAAGCATGTTTATCGAATTATTTTTCATTATGGAAGACAAAGTGGAAAAATTAGAACTAAAAGAAGAGGAAAATGAAATTAATATAAAACAAAACTGTGGATTATATTTTATTGATTATAAAAATGATAAAATTGAAATAAAACTGGTAATTGACGATAATAACATAACCATGGATAGTAAAATTAACAAAACAATCTATTTATTATTGTATTATCTACAAAAATAAAGGTAGAAGTATAATCCCCTACCACAACAAGAAGAATGCAAATTAATAAAACAAATCCACAAATCATAGATTTGATCATATGCCAAAGACAGTGCTTTCAAGCAAGCAAGGTCATTACAAATTTCTTTGCATACCTTTTGACTTGTCAAATGCCCCTGCTACTTTTCAAAGAGCGATGAATACAACATATTAATATTTTCAGAAAACTATGAAGACCACTGGAAACATATGGAAATAGTTAAAAATTTAAAATTAGAAAAACATAATTTAAAGATTCAAATTGATCAAATTTTGCAGGGGTGGTTAGGGACTCCTATTTTTAGGACAAATTATAAGTGAGAGTGGATTAGAACCGAATCCTGAAAAAATAGCAGGGTTAAAAAAATTTAAACTCCCAAAAACAGAAAAAGAGATTAAAAGCTTTTCTGGACTCTCTGGATTTTACCGAACTCCTCTGGAGCCTCCCTAAAGGACAAACACTGTGAAACTAATTATAATGGTTTCAGATCAGTCGATTTTGCTATGGGAAGAAGCAAGGTGGTAACCATGGTACTTAAGGTGTTGTTTTTTTTAATTATGGACTTCATACCTCTTTCTTTCTGCTTGTTCTCCAATCTAGTGGATTTACTTTAGCATCTGACAGAGTTCAATACTCAGAGTATGGTCCAAATCACAGTCTGCTTCACGATAACTCCTTATGTCTTGTATAGAGCTTTGGTGCCTCTTGTCTATCAGCATGTGGTCGATTTGGCTTTTCACAACTTTAGAGCATACCCAGGTGTATTTATGTATAACCTTGTGCGGGATCATCATACTGCTCACTACTAGACATTTAGCTGTTGCCAGACTGATACATCTCACTCCATTATCACTGCTGGTTTCGTGGAAGCTTTGGCCTCGAATAATGGGCCTAAATTGGGTTTCTTGTCATTGAAGTCTCCTATAATTAATCTATATCATATTTTGGAGCCTGGTCCACAACATTTTCTAACTGATCTTAGCAACCTCAACGTCTTTTTCTTAAGTTGTTGGATACATGTTAGTAATTGTAATGTTAATAATAATTGTGATATTGTAGTACACTTATCTTTTCATTAACTGAGGTGAAGTTTATTACTGATTTCCTTGCAGCCGTATCAACTATAAATCCAGTGCCAGTTGTCCCATTTTGTTGTTTCTATGGTGTAGAACAATGTGTGGCTGTCTACTGTGCTTTCACTACCATCTGGCCATCTTACCTCTTGTATGACTGTTAATGAAATGAAATGAAATGAAATGAAAAAAAATGTTTTATTATTCTGGGACTGTTGTCCCTTAAGAACAAAATATGAATACAGATTATATGTCTGTGTGGCTACAATTGAATTGTATATTTACAATGAAAGTTGACTTACGATAAAAATACAGAAAAGAGAAAAAAAAGAACAAGTAAATTGTACATATGTATGAGAAACTAAAATAACCTTAATAAATTGAGGTACTCTCTGGTGGTGCTCAGATATTTCTCTGAGATATATTTCACAATCATTCGGATTGAGAAAGGAGTAGGTGCTTAAAGAGGAGTGGTTTAAACGAGGAAACTGATTGAGCGTGTCGAATATCAGGTGGGATGGAATTCCAGAGGGAGGCGGCTTGTATTGCAAAGGATTTGTCAAACGCAGCAGTTCGGTGAGGAGGAGGATAGAGGTCGGAAGTACGAGATCTGGTGGGACGGGATTGGATGGAATATTTGAATTGTAAGCTGTGAAAAATGTAGGAGGGTCGATGGGTTCTAATAATTTGGTACAGAAAGGTGGCTAGGAAGTACTGACGGCGATAGGATGGGTAGAGCCACCTCAACTCAGTGTAATACTGGGTAATATGCGTATCCCTTGAGATTCCGAAAACAAATCGTAGTGCGCAATTCATTAGGCGTTTAAGTTTGGCCTCGGAATCTCCCGGGAGTCCACCGTACACCATACAGCCATACAAGGGAGGAAACTAGGAGTTGACGGGACTTATATGGAAGGAGATATCGTAGACGATTGAACTGTTTTAGGGTGGAGATAGTGCGACGGGAAATTTGGGAGATGTGAGGTTTCCAGGATAGGGATTGATCGAAAGTTAATGGTATGTTGTACCTTTTTATTGACTACTGTTTGGGCGGCCCTTGGTATGTATAAGCTCCAAACCTTCAATGATCTGATATGAAGTTTGTTATACAAAGTATGTTAAGACAGTCAGATTTTCCGAGCCTGATTTTTTGTTTTGTAATATAGTGTTTTCCACAGGATAGGGTTATTAGCCCTATTCTCAATCCCTAACCTGGTGAACCACGAGCTATGTAAGACACAAGAGTCGCTCACCTCCCTGTGTCTCAGCCTATGGTTACCATCCTACCATTTGCCATCCCTATGCAGGAATCAAACCTGTGCTGTCCTGACCTTTGAACTTGGTTAATGTGGTCTTATTATTATTTATTTATTTTCTATTTCATTTAAATTATATAATTATTCTGTGGAATTCTAGGACCGGGAATCGGACCCACAATCTTTGGGTTTCCAGATTGGTACATTTTTACACACGCTTTAACCCACTCGGACTCCCTGGCTCCCATACCACTGTATATATAAGGTTATAATTTAAAAATTCTAATAACACAGCCTTGTGTCTCTAAAATACAGGTAAAGAGCAAAATAAGCCGTCAATATTTCACCCATTCAGGCATCAGGACAGAAAAAAAAACCAATAAAAAAAACCATGATCACATCAATCCATGATATCCAAACACATATTCCATATATATTATAAACACTATATATAGTGACATAGGACCATTTAAACATCTTGGTAGACTGCTCTGCAAGAAGGTGCACCCACCATCATTACAGTTAATGACCAATTAGGAGAATAGAAATCAAGACATTGCAAGGTAGTCTTTCGATTTTGCGATCAATAAAAATTAATGACATAAACTCATAGTTGTCCTGTAATTTTTTGCACTGCCATTCACAAAATGCTTGGGCATCTCTTTATCTCTGTTTGGTAAAAATTAGTATTTAATTTATTTAGAATTGAAACATTTCTTTATTGAGTATTGTTACTTTCTGTCACATTCAAAGACATTATTAATAGTGATAGAGTAGCTCAATTTAGAATTAAAAGAATTTGAGTCAATTATTTTATGCAGCATACAAATGACGAATATTCGTCATTTGGCTGTTGGCGATTGTTAACGAAATGACAAATTTTTTTCATGTGGGTAAATTTGTGTTAAACCATTTAAAACTTGAACTACATTGCATTTTCCCATCTACAATAAAAATAATGACATTCAATTACAAACTCTATTGCAATCTACCATAACAGATTTTGATTGTTTTCTAAAAAAAAATTATTGATGGAACTTTATTATCTTTTCCTTTTTTTCTGAGGAAGGGCCCTATATCCAGGAATTTTTCCTAGCTGGATAGCTGGATAGCTTGGATGTTCCATGGGTAGTGCAATCTCAGTTATAACAACTCCAGGTCTCCATTTATTCATAATTTTTATCTTTAAAAACTTTTTACATTTATGTATATTATATAAAAAAGTTTTTAGTGACTCATATTTTATTTTATTTTAGTATTAGGATCGTAGGAGGTTGCAGGAGCTCTCCTATTAGCATTAATTATACAGCTGTACATTTAATTATGCATGTGTTCAATTCCTGTAATCTCCTACTATCCTAATACAAAATAGAGATTTATACCCTGGTTCCTTTGTTACAGTATTGATTTCCTGTAAGCTTCTACTCTCCTAATAAAAAATTAAGATTTTAGACCAAAAATTTGTATGGAAAATGGTATTCATCTGGAGGTAGTAGTTTGATTTTACCTAGATGACAGCAGTTATTTTTTGATCTAGACACTTTCCCCTTGAATACAATATTATTTAATTAATTATTATATTATATATAATATTATTTATATTATATTGTGATATAATTATAATTATTATTAAATAGAAAAGGAAGCTCAATATAACATATAATGAAAATATTAGAAATAAAAGCCTCAAATTGATGTTAGGCTTATATGAAGCTAGACAAGTTGAATATATATTATGGTTACAAACTGGCAATAAGAATAATTATAATTATATGGTAATATAAATTGGCAATAAGGCGCAATACATAATATAGATTTTTAAAGAAATTAAAAATTTGTCTGAGCTGTGGTTTCATTCAGTTTATTTTACGTTGATAAAAAATAATACAGTCTCAACTTAAAGATACATGTAAATTACAGTTGTACAATTTGTAAAATGGGGCTGGTCTGCCTTTAGGTGGACGGGGGTACCCCTCTAGTTTATATATTTTTAAATATATAAGTTTATATATTTAAGCTTTAAATTTTTTTTTTAATATGTTTATGTAAAATAAATTGTGATTAACCTGACGTATCATAGCAAATTAAATAGTTTTATTTTATTATTTGTCTTCCTTTGATTACTATTTACTATTTATTGAGATTTTAAATGTTTATATATATATATATATATATATATATATATATATATATATATATATATATATATATATATATATATTTATATATATTTATATATATTATAATTTCTTACAGAGCTTTAAAAATTGGTGTTATCTCAAGTTTGTGTGCATTATTAATCACTTTTACTGTAGACTCAGTGTTTTGGAACAAACCAATCTGGCCAGAAGGAGAAGTATTCTGGTTTAATGCAATAATGAATAAAAGTTCTGAATGGGGTGTATCCTTTTATATACAATTTTAATTTATAATTGTAACTACATTTTAAGAAACTATTCAAAATATTCACAAATTGCTGTTTCCACAATGTTTTTTATTTTCTTCTTCAACTTCCTCTTAAACAGGTTTTTCAATAAGTTGTTTTTAACCTGGATATAGTGGTGAATTTGACAATGTAGAAGTAATAAGAAAGACCATAGGATGTTTCCTGTAAATTAGGTATCCTGTGTCCTGTAAAATGGGATGTATTTTGTAAAATCACAATATTAAAAAGGAATACTGTAGGTAAGGTGAGGAATATTGTTCATATGATGAGAGCACCACCCATCCCTACAATCCTCCTCGGAGGTTAAAACGGCAGTGGTCCCTTGACCTTTTGTAACATTTATATATTGAAGTTTTGGCAATAACCAGATTCTCCACTCAAGTCATGAGTGTCTGTGGTTGCATTGTAGCGCCCTTACTCAGCCTCCGCTGGCTTTTAATACCATTGAAGTGGTTGAGGGAGAAGCGCAGGAATCTTCTGAAGGCTCGCTTTTGGAGGGACAAGTTTGTTTTGGAGTTCCCCTGCCTGATTTTAAATAGTGCTTATAGGTATGCCTGCGTCTAAGGTGTTCATTTTTATTTTTTAAGAATATTTTAGGTTATGCAATAACCTATAATGGTCCGTTATTATATTTTGATCCCAGTAAACTTTTATATTCCTATTTTCATTAAGTTTTTCTGGTGCATAGCGATAATAAGGTAACTCATCACTCTCCAGTAGTCCGAATTTCCTACATATACTTCAGTGGTATATTTTTGCGACATTATTATGTCTCATGAGGTATTCCGTTCCTGCCAGAGTATCGCAGCCATTGGTAACATGTTGGATAGACTCATGCGTCCTCGAGCAAAGCTGACACTTATCTGTGGCCAGATTTTCTTTTAATGTATGTTTTCTATAGGCACTGGTTACGATAACCTGATCCTGAATAGTTATAAAAAACCCTTCTGTCTCGCCATATATTTGCCCTGTCTTTAATCACTTAATTAAGAGCTCACTGTAAATCTCCGGCTTATGTAATTGGTGGTATAATCTGCAATGCAATTCCTTTTCCTTCCAGATGGTTTTGTAACAGTCTATATATCTCACTTCCGGTCGATTGGATCGCCAAAATTCTGGGCAGTATAATCTTCATTCAATTCTTTTATCCAGATGATAATTGGAGATGCATTTGTAATAAAATGTTCCTTTAGTGAGTTATCTTGTTTTCGGCAAGAGTCCTCAATCGATATAAGGCCATGGCCTCCTTCTTTTTTTGGCAAATAGAGCCTTGCCATGGATGCCTTTGGGTGATGAATCTTATCATCTGTCATCATTTACGCATCAGGCGGTCCATTTCTTGAAGTTTGGTAGCTGACCTTTTTATTACACCACACTTGTATCCTACCAATGGTATCGCCCATGTATTTAGGATTTGGTTTTTAACATTTAGATGACTTCTGAGAATCTTAAGCAGTTAAATTATTATTATTATTATTTTCTTCCCTCATTATGGTATTGTATTTTGTTCTTATTTCGCTGTATATTATTTTGTTATAATAATAATAATAAAAGGCTTAGCAAACCCGGAGGTTCGGTGCCGACACCACCAATTGCTTATTACACACCTCCCTCCACCGTTCGCCGTCCAACCCCAGTCCCTTCAGATCGGCCTTAACCCAATCTTCGTTACACGGTATTATTTTTATTTTTATTATTATTTTAATTATTTTTTTTTTAATTTTGTTATCACCGTATTTATTTATGATTCTGTAAATATGGTGTTAATGTGCTCTCTGAACTCTATTATAAGTGTTCTTAATTGACAAAGATTGTAATATTTATCAACAAATAAGTATTTAAAAAAAAAAAATGTTCTCACCATTATGAACTATCAATCTCTTAAGCCCCCTACACGGTCATTCGGAATTGCATTCCGAGGCACTAATGACGTTCCGAATTATCGTGTAAGGTAGTGAATGAAGTACTGATGGTGGTGTGTGGCGGATTTCTGAACATCCGGAAATCAAAGGTTCATTCACGAAAAGTGGAGGGGGGACTGAGGTAAAAGTAGTGGGGAGACCAACCATACTACTGGATAGGTTAGGTTACCTAGGCCTCACAACCATTATAAATTTCTGATTTTCATTATAAGTAAATAGTTAAATGATTTTTCATATCCCTTGTTTATATTTTTAAACCATCTTCAACTATGTCTTTTAAATAGTTAAGTGGGCAACAAATTAAAAAAAAAAAGTGGAAACTTCACAATTTTACTTTAAGAAAAAAAAAATCTTTAACTGTCAATATAACTGTTGTGTATATTTGTCAGTTCTTTTCCCATTTTCCTCAAGAAATTTATTATTTTCCCAATACCTTTCCTTAATTTTTGTAAGTAGTAGACTTATATTTTACTATATTTTACTAACTTTTGTCAAAATGATTTTCTATGAGACTAACCTTACTAGCAGATAGGTTAGTTTACCTAGGTCTCGTTTTTAAGTAAATAATTTCATAAAAGTAAATAGTTGTTTATTTTTTTCTTTAAATAGTCAAGTAGGCAATAAATTGAAAAAAATGAAGTGGAAACTTCACAATTTACTTATAGAAAATCTTTAACTGTTGTGTTTACTTGTCATTAATTTTTCCATTTTTCTTAACAAATTGATTATTTTTGCAATACTTTTCCTGAATTTTTGTATGTAGTTTACTTATATGTTTCTAACTTTGGTCTAAACAATTTTCAAGCTCTAGGAAGTAATTATTATACCTCCATTTTTCTCTTGATGCCCAATATTATAAATGACAATGTCCAAATAAGCATATCTATGCTGTTTCTTTGTTTAAAACTGAGCTAAATTGGCTTCAGCATAGATAAGTAATGATCAATAATGATTGAACGAGCATTCTTTGCCATTCTTGTGACGTTCATTCATGAATTACAGTGCAGGGTCCACTTTAGGCTTTTATAAAATATCCTTCTCCGAAATTCTTCTAATATATAATGACTATTTTAAAAAATGCCTCATTATCTGTATTAATATAGTATTTTATTTTATTTATTTATTCTTCCTTACCTTGCTTTTGGGCTACCTGAGTTTTGCAGGGATGATATATCACAGAACTATGTGTATGCCATTGATGCTATTAAACATACAAGATTTTTAAACTCAAAAAACATTCTTCTCTCCTTTGGGTCTTCGGATATACTTAGTAATTGTAGACTTAGTATAAATAGTTCAGTCATTCTGGTGCCCTTTCTGGAATTGGTCCTCTTCTTCCCAGATTGAAGTGTGCTGGACCCAGAACAGCTTTCCACATGTACACAAAATATTTGTAATCCAGCTAGTTCTGCTTTGTCACTAGTTGAGGAAATTCATTTTCCTTGAGGGCATAGATTCCATTCCACTTTTTCTCATCATCTCTGGCCCGTAGGCCATTAAATGCAATGCAGTTGACTATGGCGTGCTCAGCCATCTCCGGTACTCCGTATCTGAAGCATATTCCGTATTTATATCTTTTTCAAGACTATGCAACTTAGTGCGAAATTGAGACCATTCCCTGTAAGAAATTGAGAGACCCAGTAGTCTGTGTCTTTTTTTGTAGTCCCATTTTGATTCCAAGCGGCTGTGTATTAATTTAGTAAAGGATGGACTGATCTTGTACCATTTATCTTGGTATATTACCTATTTTTATATTATTCTTAGGGGACCAGGTATCCCAGAATAAAATTAAATTTCTGTCAGGTAGGGTTTTACTGTCTTTCCAAAAAATAACTGATATTAATTGATTGTTTGATTAGTAACTTGCTTTAATTGTGTTAGAAGAGTATATGCAACCTGTCTCCTAGGTACTTAACCTTTCTTTGAATTGGTATAGCCTATCAAAGCAGCTTCCTCTAACTTGTTATTTAAGGTGAGTATTGTGTATAACACTAAAGTGGATATTAAGATTTTCACTATCTAAATATAAGCAAACACCATTCTTAAGGGACCTAGTCCCAGAATAAAGATGAATTTCTATTCTATTCTATTCAAGAGCAACAAAGATCAATGTGTGTAATATCCTAAATACAATTTTAAAATGTTTATATGGTTATGGTATTTATTTTTTCTAAGATTTTCCTTGATTCATTTATAGACATCACCATTTCTATGGTACTGGTATTCTGCTCTTCCACGTGCATTGGGCGCTAGTATAACACTAATACCTGCTGGTATAATTGGTGAAAAAAGGACAAAATCACTTATTTTTCCTGCAGCAATTTTTGTTTTTATGTTATCATTTCTTCCTCATAAAGAACTGAGATTTATCATTTATACGTTCCCATTATTCAACATTTCAATTGCAGTAGCTTGCAATAAGGTGTAAGTTATTGTGTATTATTAATTTGAAATAAAGTAATTTTATTATTAAATGACATTGATGTGAATTAATAAGTGTCAGATTAACATACTGCTTAATATTTCTTTCATAATTAGAATTATTTTTAGATTATATATAGTGAACTAAGACCACATATTTTGATTTAATTTGAAAGGTGTTCTTTATTGAGGTACATTCTATTGTTTTCTAAATCCAGTATTAAAAGTTTAATAAATCATGAAAAGCTATAAACAAAAATTATGTGTAGCGAATTTACGTTAATGGGTAAATGAAATGTAAGAAAATAATTTAAAATATATACACTGTGGTTGGCCCTTTAATATTAATAGGTATAATACATGAATTATTGATATGCAAGTGAAAATTACCTCATATACTTGACAGCTTATTTGTTATCTTCAAAATAGTAAGGCAATAATTTAATTAACTATAAAGAATTTTCCATTCACTATATTTTAAACCTGTGTAAGAAATTTATTAAGGCTTCTAAAGATTAATGTAAAAAAAAAACTACGATGTGTACTTAAGATCCGGGGATAGAAGTGAAACATCAACTAGGCAGGATTAATAATATGAAATATAAGTATTTTAGCCCAAACGTTCAAAACAGTCTTTATTAATTGGTTTTTCAGCTCTATTTTTTTCCCTTTCCGATTCTCTAACTTGGCATAACATCAAAATACAATTTTAAATTACAGCTGATTACATAGAAGATGAAATTCTGAAAATTTCCCTCTCTTACAGTATGCAGGTCCGAATTCAAATATTTTAATCCAAATGTTCAAAATAACTCTTTATCATTTGATTTTGTTACTATTTTTTTTCCCATTTTTGCCTCTCTTACACAGAATTGCATCAATATACTATTTTGAATAATAGCTTACAAAGATGATGAAATGTTGAACTTGTAGTGTGCAGGTCCAATTTTTAGTTTCTGAGATATTTTAATCCAAATGCAAAAATTGGTTGACTCTGTCAAGAGCCGACTTGAATGAGTGTCAAATAGCCGAGTGTGGCTGGCTACTCAGTCTCATCCGATACCCACAAAAAAAGTGCTAAGCGAGGCTAAAGAAGTTTTCACTTCAAAAAGTGTGTATTTTAACAACTAGAATTTATCATTATTATTGTTTTTATTATTCATGCAAGATAAATGATTATTATTATTTGCAATTACTGTTGTTATCATTTTTGTTGTCAAAAACCTACATTATTCTCCTCACCTAATTTTTTAAACTTTATTCAAATGATTCATGTAATTTATCTTTTTAAACTTAAATGGAAGTTGCAATAAAATGTTTATTGGTGAATACAAATACTTATGTCACTGAATAAGCCACAAAATATTTTTAAAATTAAGTACAATATTTGAGGATTTTCATTGCCCTCGTCTTAATGGTAGGACAAATTTTCATGACTATCTTTAATTCTTATAGTTAATCTGTTGAGATTCTTCTTTTTTTTACATCAATAAAGTTTTTTTCACTTCTAATACCAAATGGCACTATGTTTAATGTATTGGTCAAGCTCCTAGATTTTGCAGATGACCTGGATGTGATTGGGAGATCTCTTGCAGATGTGCAGGTAGCTTTCCAAGCACTGGAGCAGACTACCAGACGGCTTTGTCAGGAAGTCAATGCTTTCTAGACAAAGTATATGACAATAGGGTAGTTAGTAAGCCCATAGAAAACTGTAACAATTGTCTCATATACTTTTGAACAAGTCGATGAATTTAGATATCAGCTGTAATATGAATGTTTACAATAATATACCAGCTGACATTCATATGAGGATCTTAAAATCCAGTCAATGCTTTTTCAGCCTCAGGAGTCATTTCAAGTTGAAATGATAAATAGATCAATGAAAATGCTTAACAACTGGTGAAAAAAAGACACTTTGTTTTGATATTCTAAATATTGACTAAAAAATCTCATATAATTTTGTTTACCTGTTATCAATCAGCTTTTTATTTAATATGACATCGGCTCTGATATTAAATCTAACTGAAGACTGGATGCTGCACATTAATGAGGAAGTTTGTCTTTCAGTCTTCAGTTTGATTTCATATCAGAACCCATGTCACATTGATCAATAAGCTGAATAACAACAAGTGAAACAAAGTTATTTTCATTTGTTTCTGCTTTAAAAAAAAAAAAAAAAATGGTAACTTAGCAAAACTTAATAATATGCATAGTAAAGTGGAATAATGATCACCTATAAAGGAAGTGAGGTAATTCTTTAACTGATTTTTTACCTCCCCTCACCCATTAAATTTTTGTTTCAAAATAAATAAAAATAATACTTTTTTTTTTAATTAGATGATTTTTGTCCAAGGGTCACCATAAAAATGTGTTTTCATTACTATCCTTTTATTGCTGGTGTTTTGACTTCATGAAGCCATTTTCAAGTATTATCTATCATGCAACACCTTTAAAATGACTAAACATTTTTAAACAAAATCTTCCTTATGATCCATTGCCCACATTTCAGGTAATGTCCTTCATATTACAGGAAAGGTAGAAGCCCTCTTAGAGCTCCAATCGGAATTCCATCAACCCATAATATCAATGAAATTACCTGAAATGCTGGCAATGGATCATAAGGACGATTTTGTTTAAACATTTTAAAGCTGTTGCATGATAGATAATACTTGAAAATGGCCCATGAAGCCAAAACGTTAGTAATAAAAGGATAGTAAAGAAATTTTTTGGGGGGCTCTTTGTTAAAATCATTTAAAGAATAATTAATTAAAGAACCAAAAACAAAGTATAACTAGAAAAATAATGATAACTTCATATTGGTTTTATCTCCAGATACTTAGCTTATGCTTTGTTTCCCTCCTGATATGTTATGAGGTGATAATATTGAACACCTCTTTCCAAATTTAAAAACCCTCAGCTAAGTTTTCAAACTAAATTAAAACCATATCTATAGCCAAATTCTGAAAAATAAACAGACTAATCTATTGCCTAGAGATGTTCTGAGTTTCCCCTTTTAGAGGGTTTTAAATTGTATAAAAGATAAAATATTACTCACTGTTTTCAAATAATTCAACTATTCAAAGAATTTAATAATTCAAGTAAATAATTCATTCATAAATTTGATCACTGTTTTTATTTAATTAAAGATTTGTTTGAATGTTTGAAAAATAAATTTATTGAAACAAATCAAATGATGTTTTATATTAAACATTATTATATAAAATAGCAAATAGCTTAAAAATAAACATAAAGTAATTAGGATATAAATGGAAAATTCCAAACCATCCATCCACGACTCTCTTCACACACGTGAACAGTTAAATTATCTCAAGCTAGGTTCACCTATATGTTGGAATTTTTTCATTTATGTCCTAATTGTAATCTTATTCACTTTGTAAATTAACATTTTAATTATGTTATTAAACTTTTTTTAGGTGGATTAATCGTCATAAATCCATGACTCGTTGGGCTGCTAGTGTTTACATTGTATTGCACATTATAATAAATGTAATACTATCTTGTATTTTATTGAGAGTTGCATCAGATAATTATCCTGGAGGTGTTGCTATAAGTCGACTGCATAGGCTTGTTTCTCCTGAAAACCAGGTTCATGTTTATATCGACAACTTACCTGCACAAACAGGAGTATCCAGGTTCACTGAAATTAATAAAAATTGGATGTATGTATTTAGAATTTTTTAAATATAATTCAATTAACCATATTATTATTATAATTTTTGTGTTTTTATTTTTTCAGTTACAACAAAACAGAAAACTTAACACCAGGCAGTACAGATTTTTTAATATTTTCACATTTATTATTGGAAGCTAAAAGCAAATATTCTCCAAATTTAAAACCTTTTTCTCATTCTCATGAGATTTTAGATGTTGTTGATGGATTTTCCCATATACATTTCAACTATAATAGTTTTCCGCCTTTTAGAATTAAGTCTAAACCAATGATATTTATACTGAAAAAAATCATTTTACCAAAAAACATTACTGAAAATGGTACATCAACTTTAAGTGAATCTGCTTCTAAGGAAGTAAAAAAAAAAAGTATTACTAAAAAAATAACTAATGTTGATATTAATATAACAGATAATTTAGTACCTAAAGAAATTGTTGACTCATCCAAAGAAAATCTAGTATCAGCAAAAAATATTAATAAGGAAGTAAATATAGCAAAACCATTGGATGATGAACCTAAGGACTCAGAAAACAAAACGTTTTCAAATAATAATAGTGAAGCTTTGATTGATGTTAAAGAAATGTAAAAACTAAATATATTATTTTTTGTCTTATGGATTGATTATGTAATAAATAATTTTACAATTTTTCTAAGTTGTTATATATTTTTCTCATTTTGAGGATTACAATTTTTTCACATTATTTTGTTCTTATAATAAAAAAAATATTTTATGCTAATTGGTCTGAAACCTTGTGTTTAAAAATTCACTTATTGATATTAAGTTAAAATTTTCCTCTGACCTTCATAATACCAAGTTCCCGAGAATAGATGTTAGCTGAAGTTATTTTAGGAGGTGGCTCAATATAACTATTATAATAGGATAAGAAAAGTAGTCCAAAATATAATGAACGCCGACGCTCCTAAACAGTGCCCACTGAAGGTAGCCGAGATTGAAGGCCACTTCAGAAGCCTCTTTGAAAAGAAAAATCTCTGAAAACGTGCGAATTATGAAAATTGCGCCCCGATGACAAATCTGATGTCCATCGACGTCCGATCGGTAAAAAAAGCAATTAAATCAACCTCGCTGGTCACATCGCCGGGCCCCGACGGAGTTCTGATCGGCACGATAAAGTATTATGATATTTCTCATATAATTAAGATAATTGCGGGGATCATGCTGAGGGTGGCTTATGTACCAGAGCCTTTGCGTCAAGGGCGTACAATCTTGGTCTACAAGGGAAAGGGTGATGCCAACAGCATATCATCATGATGACCCATAACCATTTACTCGATTGTGCGCCGAATCATTGAAAAGGTTCTGGACCAAGAATTGAGGAAACAGATCACCTTCAGCAAAAATCAGAGAGGTTTCATCAGGGGCCTGCCAGGAACACATGTCAGAGCATGGATCATCGGCGCGATCATAAAGGATGCCAAATGTAAAAAAGAATGATTGCGCGGTGGTTTTTCTAGATGTTGTCGGCGCTTTTGACAACTTTGGTATCGTCCATATATCATCAGCTTACTGGAGGCAAGAGGGGTCTCACCAGACTTGAAAGACATGATTATTAAGATTGGAGATTGGAGTAGGAGCCCACGCGACAAGCTGGATCAAAGTGCGGCGAGGAGTGCCCCAAGGCGGACCCTTGTAGGTTTTTTGAATTTATTCGATACAAGGATCTACTTTCGACTTATTAAAGTTTTTCTTATATTTTCCACACAAGAGTGTATGCTTATGTTGCTGGAGCCGTTGATTTTGAAAATTACCTCCATTTAAGGTTACGCCTCCGCGTTTCGAGTTATTTAATATTTTCGAATTTATTCGATGTAATATTCTACGTAAATGTTATCGGATGCGTAGTTTTTAAAAATGACCTCCATTTTAAGATTAGATCATTGTCTTATGGTTCGTTAAGTTTTTTGCTCTTATTCGATATAAGGGTCTACTTATATGCTATCGGAGATTTAATTTTTAAAAATAATCTCCATTTTATGATTACGCCACTGTTTTTAGGTTTGTTTAAGTTTATTTATTTTTCCTTTGACTTTAAAAAAATACGAAGGATTAATTTATTTTTCAGCTAAATAAATAAAATATCTATTTTCTCATTTTTAATTTTATTTTTATTTTTTAATATTGCGCTATCCTCAAAATTATAAAATACGAATTTCGAACAATTAGAAAAAAAAATCTAAAAATGGTAGGTTAAATTTATTACCAGTTACTTTCTCAGCTTTTTACTTGGTGTTTTTTGGTTAATTTAACCTTAGCTTCATTATATTTATTTATTCATACTCGAAAGCATACTGATGAAACACTGTATTGAAAAAATCCAAAAAAAAGCTTAATTAATCGAGATGGAGCAGCGTAATCTTGTAATGGAGATAAAACATCAGATAAATTTAAATATTAGAGATTAGATAAATTTCAAATACTACGTCTCCGATAACATATAAGTAGATCCTTACACCTAATAAATCCGAAAAACTTAAATAAGTCGAAACCCGGAGGCGTAACCTTAAAATGGAGGTAATTTTCAAAATCTACGACTCCGGAAACATGAATAGACCTTAATATCGAATAAATTAACAAAACTTAAATAAGTCGAAACGCAGTGGCGTAATCTTAAAATGGAGTTCATTTTCAAAATCTACGACTCCGGCAACATAAGAATACACCCTTATACCGAATAAATCCACAAAACTTAAATAAGTCGAAACGCAGTGGCTTAATCATAAAGTGGAGGTCATTTTCAAAATCTGCTCCGGAAACATAAGAGTACATCTTTATATCGAATAAATCCGAAAAAAACTTAAATAAGTTGAAACGCAGCGGCGTAATCTTGAAATGGAGGTCATTTTCAAAATCTACGGATCCGGAAACATTATACTAGATTCTTACATCGAATAAATCCATATCCGAAAGTTTAACATAAAATTGATAGTATTTTGAAAAACTCTACTTAGAGGAGTATAATAATCGACCATCATATTGAAAAATGGCGCTTATTTCGAAAAAAAAATTCGAAACTTTAATTTGAAATCGAAACGGTTGAATTAACTTGGAAAAAGTTTAATTTGATTTGGAAAAGGTTGAATTTGACTTGGAAATGCAATATATCGCAGTGATTTGTTGTAACATTGTTAATGTCTCGATTTTTATTTATGATTTTTCCGGAATTTTTCCAATTAGCCAATTTGAAATTGAATTTTGGAGTCGTGCTGGTTTTGATGGATTTATTTTCCAGTCGAAAGATCGCCGGGTTATGACCCGAACTGAGACATAGTACCGAGATGAAGCGAAACACATCAGAAATATTTTTGGTGAGGGCTATGCTAATAATAGGTTTGAATTTTTTCTAAGTTGGCACATTTAGAGCTATATTTTTTCGTGATAAATTTAATAATAATTTTCTATTTTTATTCGTGTTATGGCAGTTCCATTGTAAATGTTTGTCATTCAAGTCCCCGAAAATTTGTGTGTGCTTATCGATATTAAACATAACTCTAAGATCATCAATATTTATTTTATTTGGAATGATATAAACTTCAACTGTGTTAATAATTTTGTTTTTGTCCTTAAATTGAATTGAAGTCGCTTCCGCGTATTTTAAATTATCAATCGGCCTGTAAACGTGCGGTAGGTCTAAACCCACCAGTATCACTAATACACAAGCAAAAGTAAAAAAAATAATAATACATAAATAGAAGAAACAAAACGCATAGGTAAAAATACGTGAATATTAATAAGAATGATTTAGTTTACGATATATAAGATGTAGTATTGTTTTTGTTCGGTTATTAAAATATGTTTTTTTTTTTTTAATGTAAACAATAGAAATTTAGTATACATATGTTCGGAAGCTGATGTAAAAGTGTTGACTGTTCTCGTGTTAGCTGTGTATTTACATTTGATTGTACTCCCTTTAAGATCTGTAACACACATAGGATTGTTGTAGTTAAAGTATACTGTATGTGATATTAAACTAATAGATAAGAAAATAGTATCTTAAGTCTATTTAAGCATTTTAAACTGTTGACTGTTAATCAGTTAATGATAATAACCCTTTTTTTTCTTTCTATTTTTGAGACTAGTAAAAGCCTCAGCCAAAGTCCTACTTTGCCAATAAAATATTTTAATTGCCATTGAAAGATGAAATTACATTGGATATTTATTTATCCATATTATATATATATATATATATATATATATATATATATATATATATATACTGAATATATCTTGATAACCTTACAGTTCGAGGCACTTTCTCAGTCGTAGAAATGCAGCCAGTCTTTCATTATTTTCCCCCAAATTGCTCTTATCAAATCCAGTAAAGGAACCTTAGCATTTATTCGATGTAGTTGGTTTTGATTTGCCGTTGTGTCTGCCATTTCATTTCCTGATATTCCTACGTGTCTCGGCACCCACTGGAAAAAGTAATTGTTTCTGGCGTTGTATATTAGTGATATGATTTTAAAGGAAATGTGTGTCAGTGCTTTATTTTGATAGATTAATTTTAGGTGTTTACATGCAGTTGCTGAGTCTGTCAGAATAACTATTTTTTTGGTTACTGTATGTGTTTTCGCTGTATCTTATGGCGTTAAGTATGGCATATTGTTCGGCGCTGAAAATACTGAAATCAACTGGTATTGATAATGAAAATGTCTGATTCTTTTGGGGGTCATACTACAGACGTTCGGTTACTTGTTTTTGATGCTTCTGTATAAACTTGTAGATAATTAGGATAACGTTCCGTGATTGTGTTCAGTGCTAATTGTTTCAAATGAATTGATGGGTATGAACTTTTCTTCTCAACTTTACCAGCTAGATTAGAGGAGCTGTGATATCAGTTAAAAAGATGTTGGAATGGGCGTTGTGTATTCCAGAGGAGCTTTAGAAATGTGTAGTGATTTGATAAGAGGCTGTAATTCGTTAATAATGATGGATAGTTGGGGACAAAACACGTTTCCACTTCTAATTTCTTTACCTACAGGATGATTATTGTCGGAATAGACTTTGAGAATGTATTTTTTCGTTATCCATGACCTTCTGATGTGTAATGGCATCTCTCCGGCTGAGGCCTGAAGCGCGTTTACTGGGGAAGTTTTAAAAGCACCCACACATAACCTTATGGCACAGTTTTGTTGTATTCAACTTCTTAAATACAGGGGGATTTATGTTGATTTTATACGACACAGCAATAATCAAAATTAGATCTCACTATTGTTTTGTAAAGAGTGAGCATGTTTTGCGGGTGAGAACCCCACGATACTCTAGCTAAAGTTTTGCAGTGACTGTGTATGAATATTTTTTATTTGAGTTTTGAAATTTAATTTAGTGGCTAATGTTACGCCTAAAAACTTTAAGTGTTCTTCGCTTTTAACTGTGTATTTTTCATTTGAAATCTCAAAATCTATGAAGTTAATCTTTCTTTTTCTAGTAAAAGGAGCAATGCTGCACTTAATAGGATTAATTTTTAGGTATATTATTGAAAATGCTTGTGTTAGGTTGTCCAGTGCTGAGCCAATTATGTCTTTCTCTTCTGCAGATTTAGCTAGATTATAAACTAAAAAGTCATCTGCAAATTAGATGATTTTACACTTGTGTATTGTATTGTTGTTGATGTGTTCCGTGTAAAGATTGAAGAGGGTTGGACTCAAAGTATCTCCTTAAGGCACTAGCGGATCCATCCGGGGGGCGCTCCCCCCCCCCCTGGAAGCATGAAAAAAAATT